CCCCAAAACCCCAAAACCCCAAAACCCCAAAACCCCAAATAAAAGAAAAAGAATGAATATATTTTATAATAATAGTTTAAAGATGAACAAAAATCTTATTTTGATTCTTCTGATACCTTTGCTAGTTGTTGCTGAAGAATACGAAGCAGTCACAGTTGGAATGAACGCTTTATATGCCAAGAAAGTATTAGAACAGATTGTTATTGACACTCCTATGGATATCAATATTGATGAGGCAAAGCATGGGAAATTATCGATGAGCTCTGTAAGCTTAACAATAGATCCTCCACGTCCTGAGGATGTAGAGATTGATTTTGATGAGAAGAATAACTCAATTACTATTGAGATGAAAAACCAGCAATTTCACTTCGACACTTTAGTCACAATTCAAAAGGCTTCATTTAAAATTAATGGAAGCGCTAAAACTGTTGGAAACATTGATAGCCTTAAAATATCTTTTGGCTTGACCACTCGAGAAGGTGAATACACTAATGTTCCCGTTATCGACGTTAAAGATATAGAAGTCAAACTTAACGAGAAAGGTTGGACAATTGGTCTCTCAACTAAATGGCTTGATTTTATGGTGAAACCTGTCAAGGGATTAATTAAAGAATTAGCTATAGAATTCGTATCTCAAATTATTGAAGAGAAGACAGAAGAGATCATAGTTGGTCAAATACATGAAGAATTAACAAGAGTCAGTGGAAGATTCATGATTGATGATGGTGTATTAGTTGATATGGATGTTCTTGATGAGATTCAAATTAAGGATGGCTTCCTTACTCTTCCTTACTACGCTACTTACTACCTTCCTGAAGGATCAGACACTACCGACCATGAGGCAGAAGAGGGTGAATCAGATTGCGAGCATGAGCAGGATTCTGAGACTAAACTTGAAAAGAAGTATAAAAATAATTATAAGAAGACAAAAGAATGGTTACATACAGTTGATTGCATAGAACTTAATCAATCTGTTAAGTTCTGCTTTGGCTTCGCCGATTTTGAGGAACAAATTGAAAATGTTGATGAATATTTCACAAAGGTCGAAAAGTATTTCTTGCCTACTCTCAATTCAATTTACAACGGTGATGCTATTATTTTAGAAGGTGAAGAGTAAAAGGAATTCATTGACTGTCCTAATGGCAATATAGAATCCTTCCTCTATCCAGAGATTATACTTGCATTAAGTATATATCGGAGGAAGGAAGCCAAGAATAAATTGCTATTAATCCAAGAATTTCCTAGAATAATGGGCTGTCAAAGGGGTTTAGCTGTCCATTTTTTCAGAATTTGTTTAAATGTGTTGTTCACCTAATTTCTGGAACATAGGTTCTTTTTCGGTGAAATTAAGCGAAAACATTCCAGTGATTTCAACAATATGGAATTGGAAAGGGGTTTTGGGGTTTTGGGGTTTTGGGGTTTTGGGG